GGAGCCTTTTTTCTTTGTTCACATGTACACTGGCTGAACACAAACTGTAGAGATTTGTGTAACATCTGAAGGAACAAAGGTAACTGCAACTGTACCGATCTGATGAAATGAAGGCCATGTATCGTAAACTTTTAAACATTTGTTTTTCAGACACTGTGAAAACTACAGAAAACAAAGAACGTGCAACAAATGTTTCAAATATACATTGTTCAACCGTTTTTCAAGTTTTCCAAGAACGTATCTCCAATTAGACGGACTCAAACAATAAGTCTTTCAAACTAGTCCCAGTTGATAGACGGGTCCAAATATGCTAGCTTGCAATCGCAAATGCATCAAACCATTCACACAAAGGCACCTGCTATGCTCTACTACTGTATTTACCGTACTCAAATATGAAACAAAGAACACTAAAAATTCACAAACTACCATGTGGACCTTTCTCCATGGTTTTTTGGATCTGTATTTCTTTTCCTCTGCAGCAATGTGGACTTCTGCATTACGTCTGACCCATAATTCCACAGGTGTGCCCTAAACTAAACTAAGGTCATGTGACCAGTTGCATTCTTCATCAGAATAAAATACTGCAATCTGGAGCATCACACTCCTTAATCAAACACTAACTTTAGATTGGTATATTTTCAAAGTTTCCCTTTTCAACATGCCACCAACTGCACTCCCAATCAACTTTAATGACTTTATAAATTCAAACTTTGATGAAATTATGACAAAATATACAAGAACAAAGTTGTAGTAGAAATCTCAATGAGAACTGTCCTTTGCACAGCTACAGTGATACCTGCTCAGAATCCATTCAGTTTGCACATCCTATACACGGTGAAGACAGTCTTTCAGCTTTAGAAACATCCGTTTAACCCTTTGAACTGAATCAGACTGGTTTCATATGTGCACAGATCCAGCACATGTTTGGAAGCGGTGGGGACCTGTTGGCTGAGCTCCATGAAAAGAGGAAAATAATGATGAGTAAAGTTGAATAATCAGTCCAAACTGTGTCTCCTCCTTCAGGGTGGAGCCTGCAGGAGTCCAGTGGTTGACACCAGGTCTGAGGAAGTGTACGTGTGTTTTAATGTGGTTCTTAAAAACCATCTGTAGGAGCCAAACTGAGCTCTGTGTTAATGTTATTTCTTGTTGTCGGTGTGTGGATGTGAGTGGGAGAGGGAGAGAGTGTTGGTGCATGTGTGCCTGTGAGGGAGTGAGTGGCCATGGGTGTGTTTAACTCTACCGAGAGTCTAACTCCACCTGACTGAGGAAGTTGGAGATGGAGCCCACTGGAGAAAGCTGAAGAACCAGCTGCCTCAGCATCTGGGTGTGGCTGAGGAAGGCAAACAGTTTTCTGACCATGTGGCTGTATGAAGGAACTGGGCCTTCTTAAAGACTCTTTAATTTAAAGCCTTTTTATTTTATTTTGACTTGTCTGTAATTCAATGAACAATAAATGCAATAAATAGTCAGTGGGACCGACTGAATCCACTTCTACTCATCTGCCATCAGTAGTGGTCAAGCAGCAGACTAACATCACCGTTACACCATCTTCTCATCAAAGTGTCAATAATGATCAGATGATGGATCAATAACTGTAGCTGTGTTGTGTTTGTTCTCTCCATCAGATTCCTGTGAACTCACAGTCGACACAAACACAGTGAACAGAAAACTCAAACTGTCTGACAACAACAAGAAGGTGACGTTTGTATACGACGAGGATCCGTCGTATCCTGATCATCCAGACAGGTTTGATCGGCCGCAGCTTCTGTGTACAACTGGTCTGACTGGTCGCTGTTACTGGGAGGTCAAATATAGAGGAGAGGCTGATTTATCAGTGAGCTACAGAGGAATCAGAAGGAGAGGACACAGAGGCTGTATGTTTGGAGAAAACGATCAGTCCTGGAGTCTGAGGTGCTTCGATTCTGGTTGTTACTCTGTCCAGCACAATAACAGAGTAACATCCATCTCCTCCTCGTCCTCGTCCTCCTCGTATTGGTCCGTGTCCTCATCCTCAGTCCCTCACAGAGTGGCTGTATATGTGGACTGTCCTGCTGGAACTCTGTCCTTCTACAGAGTCTTCTATGGCTCTCTGATCCACCTCCACACCTTCAACACCACATTCACTGAACCTCTGTATCCTGGGTTTGGGTTCATGTTGCTTGGTTCCTCAGTGTCTCTGTGTTGAGGTTAATGTAGAGAGTCTCCCTGAACAGATAGTTCAGCCTAAACATGTCGGTCTCTGTCACTCAGAAACACGTTTTCAGATTCATGCCATAAATCTGTTTGTTTGATTCCTTGTAAAGTCCACTCAGTCTGATCAGTTCCAATTCTACTGACCTCACTGTTGTCCTAGTGACGGTACATGTGAGGGACTGTTCAGGTGCAGACACTTGGTCAAAGAAGGTGAACAAACAAAGAGCGGATGGTGATCCAGGGCAAAAGAGGTCCATAGGTGAAGAAAATGGCAAAGAACAGAAGAAGACACAGGGCTGTATATACACAGAGAACTATTTGAGGAGACAAGACACAGGAAAAGCTAATTAGAGCAATCTTAAAGGCACACAAGGATGGGGCAGATCTTTTTTAAATTACTACAGGAAATAAACTGAGCAAACCCAAAGACAGCTCATGTGAAGCCAGGACCCTCTTACCATATACATCCCGCTGTCCCTGATGGTTCCTTTTATCGCCGAAGAATGAATATGTTTGAAAGTCCACGTGCGTTCTTTCATTTATACCACTGACGTCTGCACATTGCTCCCCGTCAGTCATCACCCACCTCTACAATCCCACTCATCTGCACCACAAGGCCATGTGATCACGAGAGGCCTTTGCAGGGAGCTGATATCTGAATCTGACATTGTATTAGCTGCACATCTGCCCCTGTGCTTGTTTGTGTTTTATCTATATGTTGTAAATGCTTTAAGTCTAACCCTTGTTTTGGTGTCTATGCATCATTTAAAACACTGATCTTGTTCTTTACGGGTCTTGTTCTCTTATTCTTTTCCTCTTGCAGTCCTTTTAAGATGAAAGCTGTGATTGTTCCAGTGAAATAATGTTTTGTTTGTCTAGTCAAAGCTTCACAGTGGATATCAGGATGTTTACTGCTGACAGATATTCACACAGTATAGTCCAGTAAACATGAGTTTGGTGTGTAGTCAGGCTTCATCCTGATTTTATTATTTACTATTTTAATGAAAGGAGACTTTAACTCATGTATTTTTTGTTTGTTTTTAAATGCTCACATAGAGAAACATAATTATCCTTTACAAACAATATTTAGACGTCAGCAGTCAACATTAATGTTCAGTTTCACTGTGTGACGGAGTAGAATTGTTCCCAGTAAAAGTCTGAGAAGCTCACAGTTCTCACAAATGTCAAACGCTGTTGATCCAACACCAGATGAAGAACTAAAAGCTGAAACTCTGTGTTGAGTCTGCCCAAGTCCTTCCTCTACCACATTACGTTTACTTACTGGTTTACTGTTGACTCTTATTACTACTTATGCATGTATTTATGTTCACACATCAAGGTTTTTACACAGTATTCCTTGTTGGTCATCCTGACAGTGAGACAGATTCTCACGTTTATCCGGGTTTGAAGTTTGACTTTATGGAGGATTGTTATGATTTTTTTTTGATAAATGGAAGAATGTTGTTGTGATGTGATGATAACATTTTCCATTTCAGCCAGAACAACGAACCATAAAAATATAAATAACTATAATAAATAAAGCACTTTATTTCAATAGAAACTGGTCTGATTTCATATTGTTCTGATATGACTGGACTGAATTTATTCTGAAAAGCCAGCGGTCAGGTTTTCCTGACCTGTCCAACACTGAACGTTTTTTAACATTTCTGCAGTATTTTAGAATAGAATAGCATTTAATACTTCATCAATCCTGGAGGGGAAATATGGTTGTTACAGCAGAAAGAGTAGCGTCACCACCATGAATACAGAGAAGCAAAAATATGCAGTAAGTAAACGTCCCACGTGACATACTGTAAATTACAAACTGTTCAGTGGGGGAACTTCACTCAGAGAAGCAGTTCGACCAGTTGGACGACATGTTGTTGCTGTGAAGAGGTGGAGGCGTTTCTACAGACAGCAGAGAGCTGCAGAGACATTAAAATGAAGGGAACGTGGTTTTCTCTTGCTTCTGGGAATCATTTTGATGTGTTTCCATGTTTAATGGTTTGATGCAGCGGCTGGTGTTTTCTGTAAATCATCAGGTGGTTTAAAATCAACATTATAAATTGAAATTTCAGCTTGTAAACATGTAGAATTTGTTCTTTACAGTCATACTTCAGACGTTCCTGCGCTGCCTATCGAGCTCCGCCCACCTGTCTGACTACTCACAGCCGATTGGCTCCAGCTGCAGTTCACCTGAGCGTCCAGGTGTGGACACCAGACTGCTTCAGCTCTCTGAGGAAACGGTAAGTTCTGTTGGTTTCATGCTTTAACTGCTCGTTTCTGCTCTGCGATGTTCTTACTTCATTACAAACTCTGAACTAAACCGGTGAGATTAACAGATTACTGATTCACTCGGTGTGATCCATTTGTTTTCTTCAGATTTCTGTTGTTATTTCCACGTGTGAAACCTTTGTCTGCACGAATAATCAATATAATCCATTGATGTTGTTTGACAAGATGAGTGAGTCGTTAGTGTTGTTGCCACGGTTACAGGAAGGGCTTAAATTGTGTTCTGCAGCTGTAGTTTTTTTCCCCCTGAATGACAGTGACTCTGATTTTACCAGAGATGTTACAGGACAACATGATCTGAATATAAAGTTTTATTATTTACGTATATATTTACGGTTTATTCTTTATGAGTCGCATGTGTCAAAGAAAATCTAAATGTGTGAATACCACAGTTATTCTTGTTTGTAACTGGTTGTTTACTGGCCTGTATCTAAATACACAACCATTCATTTAATTTTATTCTTATTGTTTGCATTTAACCTTGTAAAACCCAAACACAGATAGAAATGTTGCTGTAGGGGAGGTTTCAGTATGTATTTGTACGTATTTAGTACATTTTATGGTCAGATTTCAGCATTTGTACACGTTTTTCGAGCAACTATACAGACTAATGAGGGTTTAATTGTAAAGGTAGCCTCATAACAGCAGCAATCACAATAACACCGGCAAAAGAATCATGTTTTTGTTGTGTTGCTCATCGCTGCCTCCGTTCTGGATCATTCTGCACCCTGGACAGAGGAGCTCCGTTTGCTGGTCGTATTCTGAAGTCCTGGCTAAATCATTTCAATGCAAATGAATCCCAAATGGTTTGTGGGAAATATCTGATTGTGATTCAACGATAGGTGCAGCTTCAGCTCAGTATTTACTGTTGGATAAAACGTGTGCCTTCTGACTCACCTGTTCTGCGTTCTACTCAGAGGAATTCACACCCCCTCCGCTCGCCTTCACACCTGAATGCAAACACCCTCCATCCCCTCCACCCACCCAGAACATTCCTGGACCTTCCAACCTCTTTCAAACAAGAAAATCAGGATCTGTTCAATGTTTTTTGTTTTGTTCTTTTTTTTTTTAGCTGATAACATAAAGATACAGTTTTAAAATGCTGCATTCAAGTACCGGAAATAGTTTATTTATTTACTCAATTCTGGTCTAAAGTCAGGATTTTAACAGAGTAAACACATTTCGACCTCAAGTTGAAAATGTGACATGTCCACGCGCTCAACTAACAAACGACACTGATATGAAAGAATTTGCTTTTCCTCCACACTTAAAGGTATCTGTATTTATTTAATGACTGGTAGCATAAACAGAGGGTTTTAGGTTGATTACTCATAACAGTGACCTTTTATTACTAGGATTCTCTTTTTAGTTTTCTGTGCTTAATCACAATAATCATGAACACAAGTTTTTAAGTTGACAAATTTAAAAAAAAAAACTTAAGTTGCTCCAGTATTCTGTATGTAGAGGAGAGGGCTTGGAATGCTGCCTTCAAGGTGAAGATAAATCATCAAGTCAACTTCATCAAGTGAGCTCAACTTATATTCAGTTTTAAATCCACAAATGTAGAAATTTGAGTTTAAATTAGAATATTAAGGCGAGCTCAGGCAGGACATGACTGAAGTCTTGGTCATCGAATTGTTTTTACTTTTGTTGTTTTGTTGCATTAAGTGCAACACAAATGAAGAGTGACTGACAGATTTGGTGGATGCCCAGATGAATGATGTGCGTTTCCTCTGCAGATGAAGGTCTAAAGTGATGAGCTGATGTGAGTTCAGCAGCATGGACCAGTGTGAGGAAACTTCACAGGAGAGCCAGAGCAAAGATAAGAGGTGAGATCTTCATCTGTCCATCACGACTCTTGTGCATGTCAGAGCTCAGCACCCATCACTGCTCCATCTTTATTTACAGGAATGGATCCGGACCTGGATCCAGCTGTGAGTCCTGTAAGAGCGATGGGTCGAAGAATATTATATTTGAGTTTAAAGAAGCACAATCTTCTGCTGCAAAGAGGTAAGCTGCATCTTAATATGTCTTCTGTAAATGTTTTTTTTCTTTAAATGTTTTGTTTCTCAACTAAAACAGAATAACTTGAGCTTTTAAAAATACACACAAGAACCATTTAAAAGAGATTGGAGAAAGAAAATGGTTCCTTACAGACCCTACATTTGCTACAGTACTTTGGGCACCATTCACAGAACCTATAGGAACTGTTTTTCATGGTTTGTTGAGCCACTTTTGAAGGTTCTTCAAAGAACTGTCTGCAGAAATGGTTCTCCTGCTAAGAGGTTTTTTATGGATTCGAATTGGGATCAGAAGTTTACCACTGCAGGAAGTCGCCTAAATCCCTGCTTCCATCCAAATATCTCTTTATCTTGTGTTTGTCTGTGTGTGTGGACAAACTCACTGTGAACTAACGAGTTATGAACTGGTCCACAGAGTTGATGAGGAGAACTCAGAGGTTCCCAGTGTTCAGTCTGACCAGCAGCAGGATCTGGACGCCATATTCATGGTGTGTACATGTACAACCGAGTCACTCGGTTAAACTCAATCAGAGCCTCTAATCTGACCTCCTCAGAATCTGCTGATTTAAATCAATAATCTACAATAACTTTAGTATGTTGAAAGAAGCCACAAAAAGTAACTTAGAAAAGTGTCAGGCATTGAAGAACATGGAGGTGGGTGGAAAGTTTTGTTTTAAATTCACCTTTTCTGTCATTTCTGAGCCTCATAGCTTCATCAGTACAGTCGATAGTCACATGAAACTTTCATGGATGAAAAACGCATTTGAGTTCTGTTAAAAACTGCAACCGAATCAGTTTTACATCCACCCCAGGTGTCACAATCTAAAGACTAAATCTGGGTTGTGTTTATTTTTTCTACAACCAACTTTGAGCATTAATATCATTATGTTACAGTAGTTAGAGTATTCCGCAGTTTGTTTGTTTTTTAAACTTGTTTTTGTGACACCAGATTTTTACCATTTTTTAAAGAAATGTTTTTACGGTGTTGTTCTGACCAACCACCATCATACAAGCTGATATGAGCCTTGAAAGTTTACCCAAAATGCACTTTTTAAAGTTTTCTCTGATGAATGATCAGAGAACAGAAAACACATCCAGGGTACCAATTAATATTTCTACGACTCTCTGTCAGATATTGAACTGTTCTGACACTGAAACTATGATATATCCCATAATATTAATGCTCAAAGCTGGTGAACAAAATATGATTTTCACTTTGGATTGTGACACCTGGGGTGGATGTAAAACTGATTTGGTTGCAGTTTTTAGCGGAACTCAAATGTACTTTTCAGCCCTGAAATTTTCATGTTTATTCACTGAACTGACGACTGACCAGAATTTCTGAGGCTCAGAAATGATGGAAAAGGTCATTAAAGGTGTAAAACTTGGGCCTGTAGCTCTGAAAACATTCACAACACGAAGGTAAACGTTTGGCATCATTTAATATGGCTGAAGTTATTAAAATCAGATGATTCTAAGGGGATCGGGGGCAACTTTCTTTCAGATTTGTTTGATTTTATCTGGAAATACAACAGACACGGTGGACTGTCAGTGTGTCCAACATGGATCTGATGTTTGGCTCCATGATCTTCTCTGATTGGCTCATTGATAGATTTCTCTGTTCCAGCTGCTGGAGGAAAACATGGTGACTTTTGTAAAGAATGAGCTGAAGAAGATCCAGAAGGTTTTGAGTCCAGATTATCCAGAATGCTCAGAGAGTCAGAGGAAGGATGAAGTGTTGGAGGGTGATGATGAAGAGCAGAGGAGCAGCAGAGAGATGTTTCATCAGATCACAGTGTTCTTCCTGAGGAGGATGAAGCAGGAGAAGCTGGCTGACCGTCTGCAGTATAGTAAGAGGATTTCTGTAAACACTGAACCTGCTCAGTGAACAGCGTATCAACAGTTGTACCAACATTAAGTATTAGAAAATGAAAATTTTTTTCATAAACTGGTATTCTACATATTTTCCACGTCTTACACATTACAGTTAATGCCTAATAAAAATCACAGGGAATCAAATTTGACTGTAAAATTATTATTATTACTTTTTTTGGGTTTGTTTTAAACTGTTTTTAAATCAGTGAAAACTATTATTTTAGAGATATTTTCCCAATATTTCAAAGAAATGTAATTTATATTAAAGATTGAAAAAGTATTTTTTGTATCTGTTGTTTTATAGGATTCCCCTTGCTTTGGTAAATTACTGATCATGTGCAGTAAAATCACAGAAAAGTAATCATTTACATGTTACCTGTAAGAAAGAAAAAAACTGGTGAAAACTGTAAATAACGTCCATGCCAACAATCTAATTTTTCACAACAATCACTGTTCTTTTACAACAGTTGACTGTGATGTTACACAGGTTTTGCTGCATGTGAAACAGCAAAAAAGTAGTATTTTACTGATATATTCAGTGATTTAATTCTACTATTTTTCATTTTATTTAAGATTTAGGAATATTAAGGATTGGAAATGGCAAATTATTTTGTAACTGGTATTTTACTGATTTTGCCTGTTTTGGTAAATTACAGAAAATATTGATCTCAGGGTTGTAAACCACTAACTGATATTCTCCATTTTGTGTTCATGCAGAAACTCCTTTTGTAGTTTGTCAACG